CCCTGGCTTCTCACCAGGCCCACAGCGATAGACCATCAGCCACACTGCTGACCGCTGACGGTCGGTCTCCCAGTCCAGTGCCCACATCGCTTGCAGGCAGACTGTTTCCCACGCAGCAAAGTGCTCAGAATGTGTCATCCTGGCTCATCCCCACGTTCAGCGCTAGGTAGCTTTTTTGCCCCTAGAGACGTTTCAGGTTTTATGTTTTTATTCCAGCCTCCCCACTCCATTCCACACTCACACAGTCCTCCCCCCACCCTTTTTTTTAATAAATAAGAATGTGCACGAATTAAATGTGCATTGAAGGGGATGCCCAGGAGGCGTTACAGGTGCCCCTCCTGCCCTACCCCCATCTCTTTTTTCTTGAGAGATTGAAACCATGCAATTTAGAAATTGCTTCCCCTTTTCCAACCTGGTTTCCTCTGCCACAGAGGTAATGGAGTCTCGACATCCATTTTGTTCTTCCCCGCATTTGCACCCCTGAGCAGGTGATGAGGCAGGTGGCTAAGCAGACCCATATGCCTCCAGGCTCAGGTACAGCCTAGGATGCATCTGGGTGGGGTGGACATGGAAGACCCAAGTTGGAGTCAGAGCTGGGAAGCAGAGGAGGGCAGCTCAGACCTCACTGATCCATGGGCATGGGATGCCCTGGCTGAATGCTGTGCTGGGTGAGGAAGAGTGGGGATGGCATCTTTAGATGGTGGGATCCTGCAGAAAGTCAGGGTCTAATGAAGAGATCTCACCATTCTCTGCATGAGAGGATGGCTGACAAAGAACTGCCAGTGAGCACCATTCTCAATCTGTATGCCCCAGGACAGCATGAGATACTTTCAGTGAGTACAGCAAACACAGAACCTTCTGCCGAGGGACCCCTGGGTGGTGCAAACAATTTGTGCTCAACCTCTGACCTAAAGGTGGGCAGCCCAGACGTACCTGGTAGTGCCATGATAGAAAGGTCTGGTGACCTGCTTCCATCAAGACTCTTGTTAGGGGCCACCGAGGGGTTTTCTCTATGGGAGCAGATTGCCAGTTCTTTCTGCGGCAGAACAGCTGGGTATATTTAAACTGCCCAGCCTCAGGCAGCAGCCAAGTGCTCAACTGTCCCATGACCAGGACTCTTTCCATTAACAATATAACCCAAAGAGCAGTTCTACTCGGGGACACAGGGAGTGGACCTGAATCACAGCCAACCGGAGGGTTTGATTTAGGGATTTGATTTTGGGGGTCTGTCGGATCAAGCACAAATCACTTGGACTGAGACACATCCTCATCAAAGGCCTGGCGCCTTCTCTTTTACGCAGGGCTTTCTGCCTTGCTGGGATAGAGCAGCACTGCACTAAAGTTAAGGTGGAGCCAACACCAAGAGTAGCAGTGTCTAATCCTAATCCAGGGGCTGCAAAGCTAGGTGAGTTACCCAGCAAGGAATTGTGGTTATCTAAGAAGGAAATTTTATATATATATATATATATATATATATATAAATATTGAGTTGCATGTGTTACTTTCTCAAACAGCTATTAAATTATTCTCTCTTCCACTGAGCCCATGCTAACTCATAGCGACCCTATAAGACAGGGTAGAACTGCCTCTGTGATTTTCTGAGACTACAACTCTTTAAGGGAGTAGAAAGCTCTTTCTCCCACAGAGCAGCTGGTGGTTTCAAACTGCTAATCTTGCAGTTAGCTGTTCAATGTGTAACCACTACGCCACCAGGGCACCCTCATTAAATATTTAATCACATTGGGCCTAACTACTTAATGAATGGGACTATTTGCTATTTCTGTTGGTTGAGGGTGCTGTGAAAACAGGACTGAGATTTGCAATTGTTTGGGAAGTCCCATTAGCCATGCTCAGGATTGTCGGTGGGACACAGGCACCAGGATGACAGGAGGTCAGCAGTTCAAAGCCACCAGTTGCTCCGGGGGAGAAAGACAAGGCTATTTAGTCCTCTAGAGTGGCGGGCTCGGAAACCCAGGGGCCGGTCTGAGTCTGAATTGACTTGCTGGCAGCAAAAAAATAAATACATAAAAACAATTGCCTGGCAAAGTGA